TCTCTTCGGGGCCCCTGGCTTCCCGTTGGGCTCAAGTTGTGCATCCTATTTTAAAAGCACTTCATTTTAAGCCCAGCAGCGACAGAACATTCACTATTTTATCGAGATGAGTCCTTGCTCTTCTCCCAAGAAGTAAACATCTTCTGATTTCCTGGCTGCACTCTGTGTCTGCAATAATCTTTGCGCCTAGAAATACAAAGTCTGTCACTTCCTCCACGTTTTCTCCCTCTACTTGCCAGTTATCAATCAGTCTTCTTTCCATAATCTTGATTTTTTATGTTTAACTGCAACCCAACTTTTGCACTTTCTTCTTTCACCTTGGTGATAAGGCTCCTCAGCTTCTCCTCGCCTTCAGCCATCAAAGTGGTATCATCTGCATATCTAACGTTAATGTTTTTTCCAGCAATTTTAACCCCAGTCTTGCATTCGTCTAGCCCCGCAACTCGCATGATGTCTTCTGTATACAAGTTGAATAGGTTGGGTGAGAGGATACAACCCTGCCGTACGCCTTTCCCAATCTTGAACCAGTCTGTTGTTCCATGGTCAGTTCTTCCGGTTGCTACTTGGTCCTTATACAGATTCCTCAGGAGAGAGACAAGGTGATTTGGTATGCCTCATACCACCAAGAACTTGCCACCATTTATTATGATCCACACAGTCAAAGGCTTTAGAATAGTCAATAAAACAGAAATAGATGTTTCATAGAATAGAAATATATAGTTCATAGAATAATAGAGTTGGAAGAGACCACATGCGCTATCTAGGCCAGTGGTTCTCAACCTTCCTAATGCCACGACCCCTTAATACGCTTCCTCATGTTATGGTGACCCCCAACCATGATATTATTTTTGTAGTTTTGCTACTGTGATGAATAGTAATGTAAATATCTGATATGCAGGATGTATTTTCATACACTGGACCAAATTTGGCACAAATATCCAATACACCCAAAGTTGAATACTGGTGGGATTGGGGGAGGGTATTGATTTTGTCTTGTGGGAGTTGTAATTGCTGGGATTTCTAGTTCACCTACAATCAAAGAGCATTCTGAACTCCACCAACAATGGAATTGAACCAAACTTGGCACACAGATCTCCCACGTCCAACAGAAAATACTGGAAGGGTTAGGTGGGCATTGACCTTGAGTTTTGGGAGTTGTAGTTCACCTACATCCAAAGGTCACTGTGGACTCAAACAAGGATGGATCTGGACCAAACTCTACCAAATACTCAATATGCCCAAATGTGAACACTGGTGGAGTTTGGGGAAAATAGATCTTGACATTTGGGAGTTGTAGTTGCTGGGATTTATAGTTCACCTACAATCAAAGAGCATTCTGAATTCCACCAACAATGGAATTGAACCAAACTTGGCACACAGAACTCCCATGACCAACAGAAAATACTGGAAGGGTTTGGTGGGCATTGACCTTCAGTTTTGGGAATTGTAGTTCACCTACATCCAGAGATCAGTGTCAACTCAAATAAGGATGGATCTGGACCAAACTCTACACAAATACTCCATATGCCCAAATGTGAACACTGGCAGAGTTTCGGGAAAATAGAATCTTGACATTTGGGGGTTGTAGTTGCTGGGATTTATAGTTCACCTACAATCAAAGAGCATTCTGAACCCCACCAACGATAGAATTGGGCCAAACCTTCCACACAGAACCCCCATGTGGGCCACAGCAACGTGTGGCAGGGGACGGCTAGTAGTCAATAAAACAAAAATAGATGTTTCATAGACTAGAAATAGATAGTCCATAGAATAATTGATTTGGATGAGACCATGTGGGCCATCTAGGCCAACCCATGGGTGAACCTGGGCCCTCCAGGTGTTTTGGACTTCAACTCCCACAATTCCTAACAGCCTACCGGCTGTTAGGAATTGTGGGAGTTGAAGTCCAAAACACCTGGAGGGCCCAAGTTTGCCCGTGCCTGTTCTATACTCACAAGTAAGATGTCATTTGAGATTGGCCCTGGTAGCCATGAATACTCAGTTGAGTGACATTCTTTGTAACCAGAAGCCATTATTTCCTCTTCCATTGTGCTTAACCAGTTGCCCCCACCAGCAAGAAAAGGGAGGTGGGACCCTACGAGTGGCATGAAATGCATCCTCTTTCTCTCTCTGTCACCCCTGCTCCCTTTGGCTCCGGTTTCTCATTTATGACACGGAAACACGCTTGATGTTTAATCCGAAGTGACACGTCCCTCGTGGGGCTGGATTACTTTCGGCTGTCTTGTCAATCCAACGCTTCTCATCTCAGCCGAGTTCGCCTCCGGTGTGGTTTTACCGATATGGTGTTCCGCAAAACCGGAGGTGATTTCTCTCTTGCCATGACTCAGGGATTTGGGTCATCATTCCTTATGAGTATCAATTTTTTAAAATCGCAAACCTTGCCCGTCGAAGAATTGGGTCACCAGATTAGCTTATTAAAACGAAAGCTTCACGCAACACCATATGTATGAGAAGGGGGATTTCATTTGCAGAAGCAGCTGTGCTAAGCGGAATTGTTAGAACGGCACCACGTTTTGCAAAATGTGTGCCATCCCGGGTCTTGTCCGTCATAGTCTGGGGAACTGGGTCAATGCTGGGATCAGCAGGAAATGCTTCAACGCAGGAAACCGGCAGATAATAAAAGCCAGCGGGGAGACATCTCATGTCCTGTGTAACAGCGGAAGAATTGATCCAGGAGACTGATTAACTGAAAGAGTCGCCAGACAATAATAAAAAAGGAAACAGAAGGAAGGATACAGGTTTTAGTCCAAGCCTTACAGTTGCTGGACATGGTTCTTCTGGATTTACTTTTCAACCTCCCATGGTCAGCAGTGAAGTACAGGCTGAGCATCCCTTACCTGGAATATGGAAATCCAAAAATTATTTGCCCATGTGCTGAGACAGTGGCGCTTTTGTTTCCTGGTGGTTCAATGTACACACACTTTGTTTCCTGCACAAAATTATTGTTAAATTATTGTAATAAATAATAATAATAATAAATGTTATTTATATTCCACTCTATCTCCCCAGAGGGACTCAGGGTGGATTCCAAACATAAAAGGCAAACATTCTGTTGTAGCCTGTGAGTAACGTTACAAACAGCAGTATGGGTGCCAGAAGGGGAAAAAGGGTTACTCGGGAGCAGGAATCTGATGATGAGCAGCAGAGAAAGAGGTTCCGGGACATATTTGCAGCACCTACAGATGAGGAGTCGTTTGAGGGATTCTTTGGCAATGATGGGTCAATGAGTGAAGGAGAAGAAGGAGACACCATGGTTTGGACTAAGATAAGAGAAGTGCAAGCTATTTGTGAGGAGCCAACAACTAGTGATGCCTTTATGGGGTTCTCTGGGGGTGAAGACTGGCAATCAGGGGATCCAACTGAGTCTTGGGGGGACCTAAGTCTTGACAGGAGATGGAGGAATTGGAGGGAAAGACAAGGGAATTCATGTGAAGAGCTGGGAGCAGCTGTGGAGGATAATAATGGGGCGGTGGTCAATTCATCTGATGATGATTTGTAAATAAAAGTGGGTTCAGGGGCAATGGATCCTTGCAGAAGGCAAGGTGTTGGTGAGCATTAGGTGCTGTGTATTGGAAAAGATTCTTGTAGACTTGTTGCTGCTTGTTTCGTGTTCGGCGTTGGTATAGAATCTGCAGTTTGGATCTCCTAATCGTTCGTGTGTTATTGACTTGGATTGGCTTCTCATGAATGTGGACTTCTCCCTTCCTGGACCTGGACCGGTTTGGCTATAGACGCTGCTTCTGCGGACACTGGAGCAGCGCTGTTTCGGATTTCTCCCGCTTCAACTCTGGACGCTTCTCTTCCTGCGGCCTCTCCTTTTTGTTAACCAGTTGTGTACTGTGCCTTTTTGTTTTCCCTCAGAGAGCTTTGTTTGATTCGTTTCTTTTTATCCAGTTAATCTGGATTATATTTCTGTTAACCTTTTTGGACCAGGTCTGGTTTGTTTCTTGAGTTTTGACCAGTGGCACTGCATTTAAGTACCTCTGCGTCCCTTTTCCTTTGTTTTAATAAACTCTGTTTTGAAGCCACTTTTGAGTCTGGCCCTTTAAGGTGCCTGTGATTCCAACACATTCAATACCCAAATACAACAATACAGCCATACTAACAAAATTTATACAACCCAACGTATTAATACGAAGTGTTATTTTCTATTTAATTGTGTAGACCTTACTTTGAAAATAGTTGAAACTTTATTTTTGTAGCTGCCACAAACTAGGTTGAATTGGTTGATGAGATATTCATTGGAAAACTATAGCAAAATGTGCTGCAAGATTTCATAGAATCATGGAATCCTAGAGTTAGAAGAGACCTCGTGGGCCATCCAGTCCAACCCCATTCTGCCAAGAAGCAGGAAAATTCCATTCAAAGCACCCCCGACAGATGGCCTCCAAAGAAGGAGCCTTCTCCAGAAACCAAGTTTTTGCAGTTTGATAAACTTTTCCCATGTGTTTATGATAGAACCAATTAGGAAGTTGCATGGATAACTCAAGAATAAAAATCGCGTTACATAGTGTTATTTAGCATATTCCAGAGGGAAGAATGAATGGGAAAGTAAGCCTTGGTCGCACCACTTGAAAAATGACCTTCTTCTCCTATTCATCAGTTTTCTGCCAGCTCCTTCTGTCATTTGGGAGCCTTTCCCGTTTGGAAATGTCATTTCAGGCTGTTTTTGGGCCCCACAGTTCTCCTTCCAGGCATGTCCTTCAGATTAGTGTATTATTAAGGGATTTTCAATATAGTAATCCTCAATCATTATAATAATCCACAAACTGTGGGGTGGCCAAAGGTCATCTGGCACAAGCGGTCTCTGTCCCTCTGGTTCGGTGTCCCTGTGGGAAACGGTTTTGTGATTTAATATGCATAGAATTAGTACCTGCAGGGATTTCCCTTTTTATATTGTTTCAGTTGCTTTGTGTTCACAAGAATTATGCCTCTTGCTTTCCCTTGGCTCTTACTCCGTGCCTCTTCTCACTCTGCAGGAATTGACAGCCGATACAACGAAGGCTGCCGAGAACTGGCCAACTATCTGCTCTTTGGCTTGTACAACCAGAACAACAATGAATTTGAGCGCTCAGGGTTTCCTGAAGAAGTCCTTGATGGTAAGGCAGGGGGTGCTGGGTAGTTTGACCATATCTACTCAATGATAATCCGAATTTTTCAGTCCTTTTTTTGATCTGAAAAATGCCTCCCTCGGCTTATAATGAGGTCAAGGCCAAGGCCAGGCAGCTTGCAATATATGATATATTTCTCTCTACTCTTCCCCTCCCTTGACAGTGTGTTTTCTTTTCCAGTCAAAAGGGAGGGAAGGAGGGAAAGGAGATATATTTCATGTCCTTCTTTTTTGTATGGATTGGTTTGTGTGTATTAACTCTATATGTGGATGTTTGTTCCCCTGGAAGTTTTCCCCTCATATGTTTGCAGGTCTTTGCACATCCTATATACATAAAGATATTTATTTATTTATTTATTTACGACATTTATATGCCGCCCTTCTCACCCCCAAAGGGACTCAGAGCAGTTTACTATATATATATATTAGGCTTGGGCGGTTTCATTTGTTAATTTCGTAATTCGTTATTAATTCGTATTTAAATTAGCTTACGATCCAATATTGAGCCATGCAGGAATAGTGTGAGGAGTAATTAGGATTCGAAAACAATTTTTCCAATTTATTTCGTAATTATTTCGTAATTATTTCGTAATTATTTCGTAATTATTTTGGATGTCTGGTGCAAGTTTTATAGTTGTTGTTTGTTTTATCACACCAACAGTCAACAACAGAGGGAGAGGGAAGCTTCAGAAGTTCCCCCTGTCCCATTTGGAGGTTTTTTAGCATATTGCGCAATCACGTCCGCCATTAACGAATCGATTCGTAATTTACGAAATTTCGTAAATTTCGAAATTTTGAAATTTTAAATTTTGGAAGTCCTCAGAAAAAACGAAACGCAATGGACCCCCTAAAAACGAAACGAGTTTAGAAACAAATTTTTCCGTTGTTACCCAGGCCTTATATATATATATATTATTAGCATAGTACAATATCAGTATTAAATATTACTATATTGTACTATACCATTATATTGTAATATTATTAGTAACATTACATGTAATATAAATATATAATTATAATATATTATTATATAAGTATTATATTGCATGACATTATAATATTATTAATATTATATGTATATACAATATATTATATTATCAGCATAGTACAATATCAGTATTAAATGTTACTATTGTACTATACCATTATATTGTAATATTATTAGTAATATTACATGAAATATTAATATATAATTATAATATCATATTATTATATAAGTATTATATTGCATTACATTATAATATAAATATTATGTGTATATACAATATATTGTATTACATTACATTATATTATATTATATAGATATCTAGAGATTTACATGTACCTGTATATCTGTTTCTATATGTATACATTATTTTTATATGAATTTCCCCCTCACATGGTTGCAAGTCTCTGCAAATCCTATATAGATATAATTAGCTCGCTCTCTCTCTCTCTCTCTCTATATATATATATATATCCATGTGGATAAACTCTTTCAGCAGCTCATGAAGCGAGAGCACACTTCAAACTGGTCTCTCTCTGTTTCTCTCTCTGCACCCACATATCTCAAGCATTGAGCAAAAATGTAACAGTAACCAAAAGTCCCAGGCTCTCTGTAAATCTGGATTTCTTATTCCTGTAGATGTGATCCTACTAATTAAACCGGACAGCGTCCACCTGTACTGCAACCCTGTCAACTACAACTACCTTTTGCCATACGTAGCCTTTTGGAGGAACTTGCATTTCCATTGCCTGACAGAAAACGAGGTGAGTGAGTCAACAGCCGACTTGAAGTGAATGTTCTTGTTTGCCAAAAAAGGTCCCAGATGTGCTGGAATTAGGGAGAGGCGGCATTTTAAAGCCAGGACTTTGGATGGAGGGCAAATTCTCTCCCTGCTGTAGGAGCGAATAACCTGCCTGCAGCTATCCTGTAACAGTAAGTAACTTGCCTGCAGCTATTCTGCAGTATTTGAAGGACAATCCCCCAAGATAGCAACAAGACAAGACTTGTCTAGCTTTTACATTGTGCTCCTAGGTATCTGCAAGACATATTGATCCCCTGAGTTACATTTGGCTGATGATGACTGCCATTTGAGCATTTTGCGAGAGTCAGAAACAACACAAAAAGCTCTTTTTCGTCTCAGTTCATTCTGATGCTTAGGTTACATTTGGATTAAGTGCATGTGTATGTATGTATGTATCTCTGTGTGTGTGGATATATATATCCAAGAAGGGTTTATATATCTGTGGAATAATGTCCAGGGTGGGAGAAAGAACTCTTGTCTGATTGAGGCAAGTATGAATGTTGCAGTTGGCCACCTTGATTAACATTTTATGGCTTTGGATCGTCAAAGCCTGGCTGGTTGCTGCCTGGGGGAATCCTTTGTTGGGAGGTGTTAGCTGGCCCTGGTAGTTTCTTATCTGGAAACTAGGAAAATGGGGAATGTCCAGGGTGGGAGACAGAACTCTTGTCTACTTGATGCAAATGTGAATGTTGTAATTGGTCACCTTGATTAGCATTTAATGCCCTTGCAGCTTCAAAGCCTGGTTGGTTGCTGCCTGGGGGAATCCTTTGTTGGAAGGTGTTAGCTGGCCCTGGAATTCCCCTGTTTTTGAGGGTTGTTCTTTATTTACTGTTATGATTTTAGAGTTTTTTAAATACTGGTAGCCAGATTTTGTTTATTTTCATGGTTTCCTCCTTTCTGTTGACATTGTCCACGTGCTTGTAGATTTCAATGACTTCTCTGTGTAGTCTCACATGGTGGTTGTTGGAGTGGTCCAGTATTTCTGTGTTCTCAACTAATATGCTGTGTCCAGGTTGGTTCATCAGGTGCTCTGCTATGGCTGGCTTCTCTGATTGAAGTAGTCTGCAGTGCCTTTCATGTTCCTTGATTCGTGTCTTGGTGGTCCCTCTGTAGGTTTGTCCACAGCTGCATGGTATACGGTAGACTCCTGCAGAGGTGAGAGGATCCCTCTTGTCCTTTCCTGCACAGAGCATTTGTTGGATTTTCTTGGTGGGTCTGTAGATAGTTTGTATGTTGTGTTTCCTCATCAGCATCCCTATGCGGTCAGTGGTTCCCCATACATGATGAACCAACCTGGACACAACATATTATTTGAGAACACAGAAATGCTGGACCACTCCAACAATCACCATGTCAGACTACACAGAGAAGCCATTGAAATCCACAAGCATGTGGACAATTTCAACAGAAAGGAGGAAACCATGAAAATGAACAAAATCTGGCTACCAGTATTAAAAAAAACTCTAAAATTACAACAGCACAACAACAGAGAGGAAACAAACAAGGACATATAATCACCTCTTAACAAAAGATTGCTCCAGGCACTGCCAGGCAATCAAATGCTAATCAAGCTGTTCAGTTGAAACATTCACACCTGGCTCCAGCAGACAAGAGTCCTTTGTCCCACCCTGGACATTCCACAGATATATAAACCCCTTTTTCCTAGTTCCAACAGACCTCACTACCTCTGAGGATGCTTGCCATAGATGCAGGCGAAACGTCAGGAGAAATGCCTCTAGAACATGGCCATATAGCCCGAAAAAAACCCTACAACAACCCAGCCAGGTAATTCTTCATTCCGGATTTATGAAATAACTTTCTGGGAAGAAGTAGTCAGAAGATGCTTCTTGCAAGTGCTAGGTTTCCCCTTCTGCGGTGATAGTATTATGTTGTTAAGAGAAATAAAAAAAACTTCAACACAAGTATGGAAGCTGCTCAATTATGGCCCAGGTTTCATTCCTTGGCTTCGGAGAAAGGAGCTGAGTCCTGTTGTAATTACATTGAAGGAAAAATATTTTGCATATGATGAAATATGTTTACCTTTCAAGTCTGATGGCTCTGGGTTTGGAATATGATTTGTTGGAGATGGAGCCATTGAGCTATTAGATTAAACCAGCTACGAACGTGTAGAAATATCCCCCGACTTGGGTGCTGCCCTGCTATTATTCTGTTGCATCTGCATTTCTTCTTTTCCTGTCTAGATTATTCAGCCTTTGACTGGAGTCTTCCTTGAAACTGGGCAGACCTAATTGTTTTTGTTCTTGTATAACGCTGGCTAATGCACACTGACGCCCCAACAAAATTAGTAGTGTATGCTTCAGGCCCCAGTATAATCAAAACAAGGAAGATGTTCTGGCTCAGTCTGAGCCTGAGTTTCCTCAGGACGAGGAGGAGGATGGGTTACAGATTTCTGAACATGCCCCTGCTGTTGATGCAGACAATGTTGATTCTGAAGACGAGATGGTGTTTCAGTTTCCCAGGGAAAGGAATGTTGTTTTGGATAATGATCATGATTTGAGTGAAACTTCACAGCTGCAGGTTGAGGAGTCGACCGCTCCATCTATGAGCTCAGTGCCTGTTGATTCCCAGGCTGGCCAGTCCCAGGGTAATGAGTTATTCGGCCGTGAAGGTGATGGGGATTTGGTTAGGGAGGACCGTTTGCACTTAAGGATACGCCGAAGTGCCCAGCTTGCTAACAAACGGGAGGTTCGAGGTTAACGTAATGTTTTCATGCTAGGAAAGCATATTTAACTATCTGTTTGAAGTCAACCCTTTGTCAGTACAACTTTGCTTACACCCTGTTAACTTCTCTGGAATTGCCTCGGCTTTTGGGGAAAGCTTTTGGCTCTTTGGGACTTTGGTTTTGATTTTGGCTTTTGGGGACTTTGTCATGCTGCCATGGATTCTTGTTTGACCAATGCTTGTGGATTATACTTCATGTTATTTGCCTTTGGACTCTTGGAAACTCTGCCTTTGCATTTAAGACTCTGTTTTGGCTATTGGACTTTTACAACCTTATTTCTATGTTTATGATTTTGCTTTTTCTTCAATAATCTACAAACCTACAGCCTTGGTGTGCAGTGGTGTTCTGAGCAAGGTGAATCTATCCTGAGTTGTGACAGAAGATGCCTGATTGAATGAATCTTCCACTGGATGTATTACTTATATTTTAATTTTTTTTTTATTTACGACATTTATATGCCGCCCTTCTCACCCCGAAGGGGACTCAGAGCGGCTTACAAGTAAAAAGTAAATACAATATATTATATTAGGTTCTTGTGGGTTTTTTTCGGGCTATAGGGCCATGTTCTAGAGGCATTTCTCCTGATGTTTTGCTTGCATCTATGGCAAGCATCCTCAGAGGACCTCACCTCTGAGGATGCTTGCCATAGATGCAGGCGAAACGTCAGGAGAAATGCCTCTAGAACATGGCCCTATAGCTCGAAAAAACCCACAAGAACCTAGTGATTCCAGCCATGAAAGCCTTCGACAATACAATATATTATTATCATAGCACAATATTAATATTATATATTACATTGTACTATAACATTATCCTGTAATATTATTAGTAATATTACATTTAATATAAAATATATAATTATAATATCATATTATTATTAGTTATAATATAATAATCTATATATAAAAAATGCTCTGTGCATAATGAGTTCCTTAAAAACAAAAGAACCAATGAACAAAATCACACCAAATTTGGCAACAAAACGTCTCACAACACAAGGAGTGACCATCACTCAAAAATTATGATTTTGTCATTTGGGAGTTGTAGTTGCTGGGATTTATAGTTCACCTATAATCAAAGAGCATTCTGAACTCCACCAACGATGGAATTGAAACAAACATGGTGCACAGGACTCCCCTGACGAACAGAAAACACTAGAAGGGTTTGGTGGGCATTGACCTTGAATTTTGAAATTGTAGTTCACCTCAATCCAGATAACCCACTGTGGACTCAAACAATGATGGATCTGGACCAAACTTGACAGGAATACTCAATATGCCCAGATGTGAACAAAGATGGAGTTTGAGGGAAATAGACCTTGACATTTGGGAGTTGTAGTTACTGGGATTTATAGTTCACCTACAACCTGGGAAGTATTCTGAACCCCACCAACATTAGAATTGGGCCATGACTAACAGGAAATATTGTGTTTTCTGGTGGTCTTTGGTGACCCTTCTGAGCCCCCCCCCGGTGACCCCCCCCCCCGAGTCTTTACTTCCCAGGTTGAGAAATGTTGCCTTAAGGCCATCCAGTCCAACTCCCTTCACCAGGGCAAGAAAATATAATCAAAACCCTCCTGACAAAGGGCCATCCAGCCATTCACACACATATATCTATATGACAGATGCAGTATCAAAGATTTGAAAGGGACCCCTAAAGAAGGACAATGATATGTTGCATGTTCCAGAGTAGGCAAACCAGACAATCTCCACATCAACACTGACAAAGAAACAACAAGAAATACTGTTTACCCACAACCAACACTTTCTCATTACTTTATATTTCAGATCACCAGACTGGGCCACAGCAACACGTGGCAGGGGACCGCTAGCATACACACACACACACACACACACACACACACACACACACACACACATATATATATTGTGATTATGCGAGGAAGAAGATTCCCCAGATTTTTGTACAAGCATTTCAAAACATATTTTCTGGTGTATAAGACTACTTTTTAACCCAAGAAAATCTTCTCAAAAGTCAGGGGTTGTCTTATACTCAGGAGTCGTCTTATACGCTGGGAGTCGTCTTATAGAGCGGGTGCTGAAACTTCCAATCCGGATTGGAGAATCTGTGGTTGCCACGTATGGTGGGGGGAGCTCAAAAATGGGAGTGGCCGCGTCCCTGCCGTATGCAGCGACTGTATGAAAGCATTAAGGGTGACGTTGTACAAGTACGGGAGAAGAAAATCCATTCATCAGGATTCGTGGACTTAATGCAGTCCCGATGGTGAGATGAAGGGCGCCTCACCCCGGGAAGGTGTAAGTGAAGGGCGGAGCAAGCGGCAGGAATCCGGGGCGCCCGGGCTATGGAAAAAAGAGATAGAGTGGCTCGGCCCATAAAAACACGCCTTCTTTTACCTGTCTGGCCCGCTTTTGTATCCTATTACCGTACCTCCTCCTCTGCCTCTCAGATCTCGCTCCTGAAGACTGCAGTGAAGTGGTGCAGGTGCGCATGTGCGAGATCTGAGAGGCAGAGAAGGAGGTACAGTAATAGGAAAATTACCATATTGAAATCAAATCTGATGCTTTTTTTATTTGGTGTGCGTTGGAAGAAGGGTAGTCTTATATGACGAGTATATCCCAAACTATATTTTAACTGGAAAAGTTGGGGGTCGTCTTATATGCCCAGTCATCTTATATTGACAAGCTGGAATGTGTCCAGAGGAGGGCGACTAAAATGATCAAGGATCTGGAGAACAAGCCCTATGAGGAGCGGCTTAAGGAGCTGGGCATGTTTAGCCTGAATAAGAGAAGGCTGAGAGGAGATATGATAGCCATGTATAAATATGTGAGAGGAAGCCACAGGGAGGAGGGAGCAAGCTTGTTTTCTGCTTCCTTGGAGACTAGGACGAAACAATGGCTTCAAACTACAAGAGAGGAGATTCCATCTGAACATGAGGAAGAACTTCCTGACTGTGAGAGCCGTTCAGTGGTGGAACTCTCTGCCCCAGAGTGTGGTGGAGGCTCCTTCTTTGGAAGCTTTTAAGCAGAGGCTGGATGGCCATCTGTCAGGGGTGATCTGAATGCAGTACTCCTGCTTCTTGGCAGAATGGGGTTGGACTGGATGGCCCAGGAGGTCTCTTCCAACTCTTTGATTCTATGATTCTATGATATACCAGAAAATATGGTATTCATATTCAACGTTCTTTCCTTCCTTTCTGCCTCATTAGTATGAAGATGAAGAAGCTGCTGAGGAATTCAAAATTTCCAGCTTTGTCGACATGGTTCGCGACTGCAGCCGAATCGGCATCCCCTTTAGCTCTCAAGGTAGGCTTGCCACATAATGTCAATGGATCAGTAAATACTCAAATAAATGGAGATGTGGTTCCCTAACTGAATGTGTCGGAGGATGTCTATTGCATACACAAGTCATTGGACCAGGCATGGGCAAACTTTGGCCCTCCGGGTGTTTTGGATTTCAACTCCCACAATTCCTAACAGTCAAAGTTTGCCCAAACTGTTGGAAGAAAGCTGTAAACCCTTTGCTTTTTTCAACTTTTAAACCAAGCTTCTGAAAGTGTGCAAAGAATATGATACTTGCACCAACAGTGGTTTTCTTGACCATGACAATCGCAACCCAATTGTATTTATTTATTTATTATTTATTTACCTTACTTATATACCGCTGTTCTCAGCCCGAAGGCGACTCACAGCGGTTCACAACAAATACGAACAGCAAAAATCCAGTGCTACAGTATAGAAACAGTTAACAACCTAACACATTACACAATTAATAAACAGTTACTACAATACCCATTCACTGTCGTCTCGTCATCAAAAACAAGTTCCAGATTCGTCATCCATTGTTCCATTCCAGTGTTCATTAACCAATCATTGCACTAATTATTGGAACGCCTGCTCAAACAGCCAGGTCTTCACTTTTTTGCGGAATACCATTAGAGATGGTGCTAGTCTAATGTCCGTAGGAAGGGCGTTCCACAGCCGAGGAGCCACCACCGAGAAGGCCCTATCTCTCGTCCCCGCCAGCCGAGCTTGAGAAGCAGGCGGGATCGAGAGCAGGGTCTCCCCGGAAGATCTCAAAGTCCTGGTGGGTTCATATGCAGAGATGCGGTCGGATAGGTATCTTGGGCCAGAACCGTTTAGGGCTTTAAAGGCCAACGCCAGCACTTTGAATTGAGCCCGGTAGCAAAGATCGGTAGCCAGTGGAGTTGGCGCAACAGGGGGGTTGTATGCTCCCTGCGCTCCGCTCCTGTTAAAATCATGGCTGCCGAGCGTATTTAGTCAGCATCATTCTGTTATTTTTAATTTCTCCAAGGAAAGCATTTGGGGCCTTTAGTCTAAACCAAAATGCCTTTGGGTTTTCTTGAGTAAAGCCAGCTGCTTTGGGTTAAGAGCTTGGGAAATGTGATCTTGAGTTTTTGCATCTGCCGAGTCAAGAGTATAGTTGCTCTTTTGGAAATTTCTTTAGGTAGAGTGTTGGACTTCTTGTGCAAAACAGACCTCCTACAACTTTTGTGGTCTGTTTTCACTTTGCTCTGTCCTTTGAGATATACCTGTGATAGTGATGTTCAACAAAGTAAATTATCTGCTGCAGTAGACACTGGCCCTTGACTACTGAGAATACCATCCCAGTAATATTTTAATATTAATCACAATAATAATAATAATAATAATAATAACAACTTTATTTATATTCTGTTTTTTTCACCCCGAAGGGGACTCAGGGCGGATCACAGTACACATACACAGCAAACATTCAATGACACATTTGTATAGACAATATACAGACAGATAGAACAGAAGGAGGTGTTTTGACTCAGTGTCCAGCTGTTTTTGGTGCCATGGAAGGTTGGGCTTGAGTCCAGGGGGTGCTGTTGCTCTAACCTCTATGACGAAGAGCTATCAGGACTTCCTCCTTCCTTTTGGTCGCCAAGCATTTTCGGATCTTCCTTCTTTATGGCATCTTAAAACACCTCCCCCACTTTTAGTGGTATCTAATTTCTCTAATCACAACTAAAGCTGTTTTTGAATTGCTTAGGTAAACAATGAGCTAGGCTAGCAGTTGGCAGCTCACGCCAACCTGGGGCTTTGAACTTGCAACCATTTGGTTGATAGCTCTTATAATTCCTGATGATTTACCAGCTGTGCTAAACCTCTGACCATAATAATAAACAATATCATTTAAATAATAACCATTGTTAACAGCAATAACAATAAATAATAATTAGCAATCTATATAAATAAAAATGTAATTTTTGTTTGTGGGATTGACATAACTCAAAAAGTATTGGACCAATTGACACCAGATTTGGACACAATACACTTATCAGGCCAACAAGTGACCATCACTCATAAAAACACTGAAAAACACAGCAGAAGGGACTTTAAAAGCCAAAAAACAAAAAATACATTACAACGCCTGCGCAAAACCACATATATACACAAACACACATATATACACAAATATATACACACACATATACAAATATACACACACAAAAAACACATATACACAGAGTGGGCCACACATGGTAGGGGACGGCAAGTCTATATAAATATAAAATGTTAGATTGTGGGATTAATATAACTCAAAAACCACTGGGTGAATTGACACCAAATTTGGACACAGTACATCTATCAGGCCAACAAATGACCATCACTCATAAAAACACTGAAAAACACAGAAGAGACTTAAAAAGCCAAAAAATAAAAAAATACATTACAATGCATGCACAAAAGATATTTTACACAAAGCACAAATGAGCCACAATGGTAGCTCCTGATAAACAGTGGCTGATGCATTGCATGCTTTCACTGTATAAATATCTCTATATAATAATAATAATACATCACACAGTCCTAGAAGCTTGGGAAGTGTTCGACTTGTGACTTTGTGATACGAAAACCAGCTGTGACATACTGTGTTTCTGTGTCAGTATAATAATAATAATAATAATAATTATTATTATTATTATTATTATTATTATTATTATTTATATTCCACCCTATCTCCCCAAGGGGACTCAGGGCAGATTCCTTCATACCCAAACACAATAATCAACAATAATCAATAATTCCTTCATACACAAACACAGTAATCAACAATAATCAATAATTCCTTCATACACAAACACAATAATCAACAATAATCAATAATTCCTTCATACACAAATACAATAGTCAACAATAATCAATAATTCCTTCATATACAAATACAATAATCAATAATTTCTTCATACACAAACACAATAATCAACAATAATCAATAATTCCTTCATACACAAACACAATAATCAACAATAATCAATAATTCCTTCATACACAAATACAATAATCAACAATAATCAATAATTCCTTCATACACAAATACAATAATCAACAATAATCAATAATTCCTTCATACACAAATACAATAATCAACAATAATCAATAATTCCTTCATACACAAACACAATAATCAACAATAATCAAACGTTCAATGCCTAGAAACAATCAAAAACAGATAAAGGTAAAGGCTTCCCCTTCCAGCTTCTAAGAGTTGGTGCTCATCTCCGGCTCAAGGTGGTGGTGCACATCTCATCTCTAAGCCAAAGAGCGGGTGTTGTCCGTAGACACCTCCAAGGTCATTTGGCCAGCATGGCTGTATGGAGTGCCGTTACCTCCCGCCAAGGCGGTGCCCATTGATCTACTCACATTAGCATGTTATCAATCTGCTAGGTAGGGAGAAGCTGGGGTAACAGTGGGAGCTCACCCTCGTCCCAAGGATTTGAACCACTGACCTTCCGATCAGCAAGTTCAGCAGCTCAGCGGTTTAACCCGTTGTGCCACCGCAACCCCTGTATATATGTATTATATGTATGTAATCTTTTGAAAGGCACACATTCAACAGGGAGCTGAATTTGATACCTTTTGGGCTCTATCCAATCCAAAATTTCACGTTTCTTCATTTTGGAGCACTTTTACGTTTTTGATTCCCTGGCTTTGGAAACAGCTCTTTTATTACGTTTACAGGCAGACTTGATTTTAGGATCTTCTGGGCATACTAACTCGACAAAATGGGCCATTGTTCCCCTTGCAAAAAATGCATTTCCATATTTCTCGTGTGCAGAAAAACCTCAAAATGAGTTGCATTGATAGAAGTTGCATTTACCTCTAGATAAACTCCAAAAAATGTATTCTTTATTGTAATTAAACAAAATATTTCAGTAACTGACAAGAGTTTTACAAACAAAGCAAACCTCCTTGAGAAATAACCCGAGTGATTAATTAACAATGCCTTACAGAAGCTGAGAAATGCCATTATACGCACACGTCTCAGAAAAAGTAAATGTTTGATTTCTCCAGGTCACCTTCAGATCTTTGACATGTTTGTGGTGGAGAAGTGGCCAATCGTGCAGGCCTTTGCCCTGGAAGGAATAGGCGGAGACGGGTTCTTTACCATGAAGTACGAGGTAAGAGCAGAAGGATTGTTTACCTGAGTAAGAAAGACAGGAAGAGAAAAGAGGGGTGGAAAAAAGGAGGGAAGAATGAAAGAAAAAGAGAGGAAGGAAGGAAGGAAATAAAGAAGAAAAAGGTATAGCTGCTTTGAGTCTCCTTGTGTCAAGAAAAAGGGAGGAATAATGATAATAATAATAAATAAAGGTGGCCCCAGTGGTGATTGGCACACTGGGCGCAGTGCCTCAAGACCTTGGCCTGCACTTAAAAACAATCAGCACTGAAAAATGACCACCACCTGTTGTGTATCACATAGTAATATAATAATAATAGTAATAATAATAATAATAAGTAAAGGTAGTCCCAGTGGTGATGAGCATACTGGGCGCAGTGCCTCAAGACCTTGGCCTGCATTTAAAAACAATCGGCACTGAAAAATGACCACCACCTGTTGTGTATCACATAGTAATATAATAATAATAGTAATAATAATAATAATAAGTAAAGGTAGTCCCAGTGGTGATGAGCATACTGGGCGCAGTGCCTCAAGACCTTGGCCTGCATTTAAAAACAATCGGCACTGAAAAATGACCACCACCTGTTGTGTATCACATAGTAATATAATAATAATAATAGTAATAATAATCATAATAAGTAAAGGTGATCCTAGCATACTGGGAGCAGTGCCTAAAGACAAAATGGGCCAGTCAAGGTGGTCCCAGTGTGATCGGCACACTGGGTGGAGTGCCTATGGACCTTGGCCTGCACTTAAAAACAATTGGCGCTGACAAAATTGCCATCTTGGGACATGTTTGACGTGTGATCAAATACAAAATCCAGTATCGTGATCTTGTTTACTGTGTACTAATCTTGTTGTGTAAATAATAATAATAATAATAATAATAATAATAATAATAACTTCAAAGACTCTAGCACAGGCCAGTAGCGATCGGCACACTGGGTACAGTGCCTCAAGACCTTGGCCTGCACTTAAAAACAATTGGCACTGAAAAATGACCACCACCTGTTGTTTATCACATAGTAATATAATAATAATAGTAATAATAATAATAAGTTAAGGTAGTCCCAGTGGTGATGAGCATACTGGGAGCAGTGCCTAAAGACAAAATGGGCCAGTCGAGGTGGTCCCAGTGTGATTGGCACACTGGGTGCAGTGCCTATGGACCTTGGCCTGCACTTAAAAACAATTGGCGCTGACAAAATTGCCATCTTGGGAAGTGTTCGACGTGTGATCAAATACAAAAGCCAGTATAGTGATCTCGTTTACTGTGTACTAACTTCAAAGACTTTAGCACAGGTCAGTAAAGGTGGTCCCAGTGGTGATTGGCACACTGGGTGCAGTGCCTAAAGACCTTGGCCTGCACTTAAAAACAATCGACGCTGAAAAATGACCACCTGTCAGCTGGAAAAAGCCACCCTACTTGGATCTGCATGCATTATTCCCCAATGCATCACACAGTCCTATCACATAGTACTATAATAATAATATTAATAATAAGTAAAGGTGGTCCTAGTGGTGATGGGCATACTGGGCACAGTGCCTAAAGACCTTGGCCTGCACTTAAAAATAATACTATACTCATTATTGGCCGATACATCACACAGTCCTAGACACTTGGGAAGTGTCTGACGTGATCAAATACATAGTGATCTTGTTTGCTGTGTACTAATCTTGTTGTGTATCAAATAATAATAATAATAATAATAATAATAATAATAATAATAATAATAATGTATAGGTCTCATTTGTTGTGACATACTGTGTTTTTGTGGCAGTAAAGTAATAATAATAATAATAATAATAATAATAATAATAATAATAGCAACAACAACATAGAATCCTAGAGTTGGAAGGGCCATCCAGTCCAACCTCATGGGCCATCCAGTCCAACCCCATTCTGCCAAGAAGCAGGAATATTGCATTCAAATCACCCCTGACAGATGGCCATCCAGCCTCTGTTTAAAATCTTCCAAAGAAGGAGCCTCCACCACACTCCGGGGCAGAGAGTTCCACTGCTGAACGGCTCTCACAGTCAGGAAGTTCTTCCTCATGTTCAGATGGAATCTCCTCTCTTGTAGTTTGAAGCCATTGTTCTGCGTCCTAGTCTCCAGGGAAGCAGAAAACAAGCTTGCTCCCTCCTCCCTGTGGCCTCCTCTCACATATTTATACATGGCTATCATATCTCCTCTCAGCCTTCTCTTCTTCAGGCTAAACATGCCCAGCTCCTTAAGCCGCTCCTCATAGGGCTTGTTCTCCAGACCCTTGATCATTTTAGTCGCTCTCCTCTGGACACATTCCAGCTTGTCAGTATCTCTCTTGAATTGTGGTGCCCAGAATTGGACACAATATTCCAGGTGTGGTCTAACCACAACAACATATGAGGAAAAGGGAGGAAGGAAATAAAGAGCCACAAAGAGAATGCAAACCTGAGCGACATCAGGTAAACACATTAGAGTACATATAATTGTGATGTTTATAGTTTTGCTGAGTATCCAGTAATACAGATGTTCCTCCATGTTCATGATACTATTTTCCAGAAATGATGCCATAAACAACAATCTGAAAAACTCTCAGCAACCCAATAATGCCATATTGTTAGTGATTGCAACTGCAAAGGGTCGCCATGAATGGACCTTCTCATACAGTGAAGGTCCTTCTGCCCAGATACAAAAGAGAGGAAACAGCATCTCTTTATGTGCTTTGTTGGTTCTTAATGCGTGTTTTGGTGACTGGTCCATCCTAGTACCGCGTGGTGCTCATTTCCAGCCAGAACACAGTCTCCACATGCCTCAGTATGTAGTCTTGAGAATGGGCAGTGTGGACAACTCTTTCATTCATATTCCTTACAATGCACGCTCTTTCTTTTGCAGTTAATGGACGTCAGTGTGGATCTGTGGAGAACTTACAGCAGAATGGATCCTGTCTCCTTGGAAAGTTTGCTTTATGAGGTAACGGGCCTGGCATCCTTTTTGTCTTTTGTGTGACTCACTTTCTGCAAACCCACCACATGAGATGAATGTAGTCATTAGGCATGTGCAATCCATGGTTCTAAATGGTTCCAAAGTACTTACAAAACTTAAGTTCTGGTGGTGAAAACTAGGAGGCGCTGGTGCTTTGCTTCTACTGTGTTGCTAAAGTTCTGGTGGTGAAAATTTCAGAACTCTAACAAACCTTTCAAAATTTCATTATAAATGGCAGTTCCTAATTGGTTCGGTCATAACAACCATCGATAATGAAACCTTTAAAGTTTTGTTAGAGTTCTGAAATTTTCACCACCAGAATTTTAGCAACACTGTAGAAGCAAAGCACCAGCGTCCCCTAGTTTTCACCACCAGAATTTTAGATTTTTAAGTACTTTAGAACCATTTAGAAGCATGGATTGCACATGCCTAGTAGCCACCACATGTGGGAGGGAAACTGGTATTTTGTGGTTGCCCACGCTCTGCTTTTCAGTTCCTTTTCCAGTATTTTAATTAAAGCACTTTGTTCCGGAACACCATTTTGTGAAGTGCTTAGAATGATAGCTTTCCAACTGTCAGGGAACCCTGGAACATTTGGGGACATTTGGGGAATATTCTTGATAGCTCAAGGTGTGGAAGTCAGACCTGCTTTGTTTCGTCGCTGGCTTTTGTGAAATGAGAACTTTCCTGCGATGCGTCTTGGTGGCAGTGTCTTCTCAGGACACTTTGTCCATCTGTGTTGATGTTCTGATTGAGAATCTCCAAGTAAACGTCCCAAGGAATTCCATAGTTCCTTAGAATGCTTGATCCTTGTGTCGCAGCCTCGGCCCAACTCGGGTGTTGTGACTCAGCTGGAATCAGAGAGTGTTTCAGATGAGGATGATGGGACTCAGGTTCACAGTTTGGTTCAAAATGTCCCTCTTATAGACAGTGAAGAAATGCCTGATATAGACAGTGAAGAAAGGCAGTTTCCCACAGTAAGGCATGAGAGTGTTGATACTAAAAATAGCCAGGTGCAGATTGACTCAGAGAAAGAGGACAGCTCTCAGCCTTGTTCTCAGCCTGATAATGAGCAAGCAGGGAAACAGGCTGACACTAACGAACAGACTGACCTTGACGATATGGGAATTTTAGATCGGGCTGACTGGTTGGAATTCTGAATTCGAAGGAGTGAAAGAATAGCTAACAAGAAGGAGGCCAGAGGCCAGAGAAACGCCTTCATGTTTTGCAAAGGGTATTAAACAGTGTGTTTGAGACCAGATCTTTGACAAAGCTACTTCGCGCTTACCTAAGGAACTTGCCTAAACTAGGCTGGATTTACTTTGCAGTTTTGTTGTTCATGGTTCCAGAACTTTGTCATGTTCTTCTGGGTTTTGCTTTGCTGATGCCTTTTTAGATTAAGCTTCAAGTGTTATGTCATATTGATCCTTTGGAACATTAACCTTTGCTTTCAAGAACTTTTTTACCTGGCTGTGTGCAGTTTGGTGTTCTTCAGCAAGGTGAATCTACTCTGAGGTGAAACATTGGGTGTCTCAGGAAACGACAACACTATATAACACGATTTTTGTTCCTGGGTTATAAATGTCATTTCCTAATTGCTTGTATCATAAAAAAACATGGGACTCCAGGCTCAGCAATGAGTCCAGGTTCATACCCAAGCTGCGAACCTGGTCTTCAGGGGGAGTGTAACCCAATCCAACACAGGCTGTATCTCTATGCCCTGTTTGTAAGTAAGTGAGGTTTATATGTCTGTGGAAGCTCCAGGGTAAACTTTTGTTTATTGGAGGCAAGTGTGAATTCTGCAGTTAATCACCTTGATTAGCATTGAATGGCCTTGCAGCTTCAAAACCTGGTTGTTAGAGTGGTCCAGCATTTCCGTGTTCTCAAATAATATGCTGTGTCCAGGTTGGTTCATCAGGTTTTCTGCTATGGCTGACTTCTCTGGTTGAATGAGTCTGCAATGCCTTTCATTATCTCGTTGACTTGGTACCTTTCATGTTCCATGATTTGTGTTTGGGCAATTCTGCCGCGTTTGGGGGTCCCTATGTAGACTTGTCCACAGGCCTTGCTGATGTTTGTTCATGTCAAAATAATCTACAATTTAGCATCACCCTTGAATCAGTTCATTGTGAAAACAGTAATTTTCTTGGCCTTCTTTTTTACATGCTCTGTTGAAATGAATGGAATATGGGAGGAAATGTAGGTGATTTAACCCTCCCACCAGTTGCAATAACCCATTGGAGCTCAAAGTATTATTATAATATTTATTTATACCATATTTATCTTCCTGAAATAAAGCAGCTTGACATAAAAAATTAATATAAAATTTAAAATATACAAATATGCAAACAGTAAAACAGAATCAAACACAAACAGCACTAAAAAAAATTGCAGTTTTGCAATTTCATCCTCTTTGCTTCCTTGCCTGCGGTGGTTCCCATTCTTGTTGCTGCTTTTGTGAATCGCAAAGTCCTCAAAAATCCAAATCTATGTATTTCCTAGTATTGTATGAAAGATAATGTTCTTAAGGCGGATGAAAAATGGGTCTAGGCTGACACATAGTGGCCATTGTTTGAGTTGTTTAACAACAAGGTCTTTTGTTTGTTTGTTTTAAAAGCAAAACATTCCTAGTTCCTATAGAGCTGTTTTTGGTGTCTTAGTTGCAATCACACTTCATGAATCTCATAGGAAACATGTTTGCACAAATGTGGCCAAGAGCTACTATTTAGAGATCAGAATTTACAATATAACTCTCTTATGCACAGTAGCTTGTGCTTCAAAAATGTTGTAAAGCAATGCCTTTATGTTGGAAAGATTTGCTGTTTAGAGGAAACGTTGCTCATGGCTGTATTTACTCAGTCTTCAATGAGGCTCTTTCCATGTCCTCCCTTATGGCACACTTGTGTGCCTTACGGTAGCCTATGACATAATGCAAATTGCTGCATAAAGTCTACTATATCACCCAGGACTATGATTTTACAAAAACTATCCAGACCTTCTTAGAAAACCACAGTTTCTATGTGGAGTTTCAGGGCAAGAAAAGTAGTTGGAAGAGGCAAAGAATGGTTTACCTCAAGGCAGCGTTCTTTCACAAACTTGTTTAGCGTCTTTACTAACAATCAGCCACAACTACTACTCACAAAGAGCTTTATGTATGTTGATGACCTTGACCTAACTGCACAAGTAAAAGACTTGGAAACAGCTGAAAACCAACTTCCCAATGCCCTGAAAGATCTTTCCAACTATTACAAAGTATATATGCTGAAGCCTAACTATGCTGGTACGGCTGTACCAGGAGCTCCAACTTCTTTTCTTTCTATTGTTTGCATGTATTCCAAAGTTCCATGCATTTTGCAATAAGGTGGCTCTCCTTGGTTTGCAATCATAGGGCCAAGGACCCATCAATTATCATTATGTTCCTTAGTTCCGCCCCTTTTTCTGGGTTTAGGAGGGGAAAATGGGACCTCTAGTTCAGTTCACACAGACAGGCCTTTCGTACAGGGCGTGAATCGGTTCCACCTGTAAAAAGCTTCGTCTTTTGCAGCTTTTTTCTTGGGGGAATTCAGTCCCACAGCTCTACAGAGAAGCATAGCCTTTGCTGGGGGAATTCAGTCCCACAGCTTTACAGCCAGCCTTCGCTGGGAATTGAAAACCTTCTTCCTCTTGGAAATCTACAGAAGGACTCTGTTTGGTAAGGACCACTCGCGGCAGCCATAACGCAATTTGACTGGATGTAGGGGCCCACGCCAGCAGAGCCTAAAACAGATTGCTCAGGTAGAGGTCAAGGATTTCCCTGATAGTGAAGAAACAGTTCATAAAGATAGTTGCCTGTCCCTTGTGGACAAGATTAAGAAAGCCACCAGTTGATTCAAATCCTTGAAGTATTTGTTTGATTTATTGAAGACCTAAGCAATAATACAGAACTTTGTTAAACTTTCCAAGTTTCTAAAGACTTTGTTTAAGGAAATCCAAAAGGCCTCTAATCCAAGGCACCCCCGGCGTCCCGATGGGCATACAGAATACGTCCTGTCTACAGACCTTTTCACAGGCCCAGCGCGTGACAGCACACTAACCCTGCCAAGACACAAGCGTGTGCTTTCCACCTACTTAACCTTGAAGCTAACAGGAATCTGAAAGTTACCTGGGAAGGCCAAGAGCTCAAACACTGTTCCCATCCTAAATATCTCAGCATCACCTTAGATCGAACACTAACATTTGAGAAGCACTATGTGAATACAAAGCAGCTGCATGCAATAATATCCTGCAGAAACTTACTGGTAGCACATGGGATTCGGATCTAGAATTAATAAGAACATCACCCCGGCCTTGTCGTACTCAGCTGCTGAGTATGCCTGCCCTATTTTGCATGGAAAGCAGGTGAATATAGCACTGAATGAATCAGGTAGAATAATCACAGGATGTCTCAAACCTACACCTGTTGAAAACTACACCTGTTGATAGTAAATGCTAATCAAGGTGGCCAATTGAAACATTCACATCTGCCTTGAGCAGACAAGAGTTCTTTCTCCCACCCTGGACATTCCACAGATTATGTATATTTATATTGTTTATAGGTATTTTATTGTGTTTTATATGTCGATACTGAGTTGGCATCGAATTGTGCCTGTTGGTAGCCATCTTCGGAAGTTGAAAATGGACGGAGTATAAATGTTCTAAATAAGTAAATATATAAACTCCATTTTCCTAGTTTCCAACAGACCTCACAACCTATGAGGATGCCTGCCATAGGCGCAGGCGAAACGTCAGGAGAGAATGCTTCTGGGACATGGCCATGCAGCCTGGAAAACTCCCAACAACCCTTTTGATCTTTTGTTTTGCCTTAAACCTGCTTTCTGATTGCCCATCTCTGTAGGAAATATTGTTTGACGCTGCTGTTAAAATCCATATTTATGTTTAATTCCTTGCTTAGTTGCTTTTTTTGTTTGTGTTTGCTTAACCGTCTGACCTGCTTTGAACCCTTTTCTCCTTGTTTAAAATAGGAGGGCAAGCTTTTTTAAAAAATGCAACGAAAGTCAATTTGCTAAGCTTTCAAGTTGTTTCATATTTCTTCTCAGATGCTGAGTTGTATAACGTAACCCTTGCCGTCATGTAAAATTAGGACTCTGTATCTGCAGTGTGAATGTATTCCTGGCACTTCTTTGTGTGGCACCGAGATGCAAATGAGCCTTCTCTTAAAGAGCAATCAGGACTGAGAGGAGGCCTGTTTTCTTTCTTGCAGGATTTGATGACTTTTGAACATCAGTGGACCAACTTCTTTGCCAATTTCGACACAGAAATCCCTTTCATCCTGGAGCTGTCAGAGTCTCAAGCTGGGGAGGTAGGCCTCTTATTTTTAGATCAAAAGGGGACTTTGTTTTCCATTCCCAATTCCCCCCTTCTCTTCTTATCACTGTGCAAAGAGCTTACTACCTATCTGATTCCCTAAAGTGACCCAATTTCAGATTTACCCCTTCCTTGGTTTTGGAAGGCGCTTCGCAGCCATAAGACTTGGCTGTGAATCATTGGATGTAGCAACTCGATCACTTGCAATTCACTTTGTGCAGATGACTTTGGGGTGTCTTATTGGTCACTGGACTGTACAGTCTGAGCTCCAGAACAAAAACCAGGCCTTTAAAAAAAAGGTTTGGGAACTCAAACTGCTTGGAGGAAGAGAGCGGCACAAGCCTGGGTCTAAATGGTTCTCAAGTACTTACAAAACTAAAGTTCTGGTGGTGAAAATTTCAGAACTCTAACAAAACACAAAATGTAATTATTATTTCATTATTGGTGATTTTTATGATAGAACCAATTACGAACTGCCATGTATAATGACATTTTGAGAGTTTTGTTAGAGTTCTGAAATTTTCACCACCAGCATGCCTACTGTAGAACACATCACACCACAGTAAAACAGTGGATGTGGCTCTTAATGAGACATGCCGCTTTATCACGGGGTGTCTGCGCCCTACACCACTGGAGAAATTACACTGTTTAGCTGGTATTGCACCGCCTGACATCCGCCGGAAAGTAGCAACCAATAGTGAAAGGACCAAGGCAGAGACATCTCCAGCTCACCCCCTGTTTGGGTATCAGCTAGCACGTCAATAACTGGAGCTTTGCAGCACACCCAAATACCTGGGAGTCACTCAGGACCGTGCTCTGACCTACAAGAAGCACTGCCTGAATATCAAGCAAAAAGTGGGTGCTAGAAACAATATCATACGAAAGCTGACTGGCACAACCTGGGGATCACAACCAGACACAGTGAAGACATCTGCCCTTGCGCTGTGCTACTCTGCTGCTGAGTACGCATGCCCAGTGTGGAACACATCTCACCACACTAAAACAGTGGATGTGGCTCTTAATGAGACATGCCGCTTTATCATGGGGTGCCTGCGCCCTACACCACTGGAGAAATTACACTGTTTAGCTGGTATTGCACCACCTGACAGCCTCCGGGAAGTAGCAACCAATAGTGAAAGGACCAAGGCAGTGACATCTCCAGCTTTTTGCTTGCCATACATGCAGGCGAAACGTCAGGAGAAAATGCCTCTAGAACATGGCCATATAGGCCAAAAAAACCCTACAACAACCCAGTGATTCCGGCCATGAAAGCCTTCAACAATACATTGCAAAAACTTTGTTTTTGAGGGACATCCTGCAGAACATTTGGCTACAGTTTTTCACTGACTATCTCATAGAGTCTCCCTCATGAAAATAACCTATTTTTTCCTCTCCCTTTCTAGCCATTCCGCAGTTACTTTAGTCATGGGATGATCTCAAGCCATATTACAGACAACAGGTATTCTTATTACTATTTTAAGATTCTTGAGTAAATACTGTATATGTCACAAGTTAAAATACAGCACACAATTCAGTGAGAGCAGGCAATCACCAAAAGCTTTGTGTCTCTAATGATAAAACTGGTATGGATGGAGCAAGTGTTCCTTATGCTATGGATCACCTCATTGCTGAAACCAGCAGAACCCTTGGCTTGTTGATGCTAGGTCAGGCATGGGCAAACTTGGGCCCTCCAGGTGTTTTGGACTTCAGCTCCCACAAATTCCTAACAGCCAGTAGGCTTCGATACCGTCGACCACGGTATCCTTCTGGGACGCCTCGTGGGGATGGGCCTTGGAGGCACTGTTCTGCAGTGGCTCCAGTCTTTCCTAGAGGGTCGATCTCAGAAGGTGTTGTTGGAGGACACCTGTTCTGCCCCACAACCATTGTCTTGTGGGGTTCCACAGGGATCAATATTGTCTCCCATGTTGTTTAACATCTACATGAAGCCGCTGGGGGAGATCATCCGGAGTTTCGGGGTACGGTGTCACCTGTACGCGGATGATGTCCAACTCTGTCACTCCTTTCCACCTTCTACTAAGGAGGCTGTTCAGGTCCTGAACCGGTGCTTGGCCGCTGTAACGGTCTGGATGAGGGCGAACAAATTGAAATTGAATCCAGACAAGACAGAGGTACTCCTGGTCAGTCGTGAGGCTGAACAGGGTATACAGCCTGTGTTGGACGGGGTCACACTCCCCCTGAAGACGCAGGTTCGCAGCTTGGGTGTGATCTTGGACTCATTGCTGAGCCTGGAACCCCAGGTTTCGGCGGTGACCAGGGGAGCATTTGCACAGTTAAAACTTGTGCGCCAGCTGCGCCCGTACCTTGGGAAGTCTGACGGCCACGGTAGTCCACGCTCTGGTTACATCCCGTATAGACTACTGCAACGCTCTCTAGGTGGGGTTGCCTTTGAAGACTGCTCGGAAGCTTCAAATGGTCCAGCGTTCGGCAGCCAGGTTGCTAACAGGAGCGGCACTCAGGGAGCATACTACTCCTCTGTTGCGCCAGCTCCACTGGCTGCCAGTTTGCTACCGGGCACAATTCAAAGTGCTGGCTTTAGCCTATAAAGCCCTAAATGGTTCTGGCCCTACTTACCTCTCCGAACGCATCTCCTCCTATGAACCGACTAGGACACTAAGATCATCTGGGGAGGCCCTGCTCTCTGTCCCGCCTGCATCACAGGCGCGCTTGGCGGGGACGAGAGACAGGGCCTTCTCAGTGGTGGCCCCTCGGCTGTGGAACGCCCTGCCTGCAGATATCAGATCGGCCCCCTCCCTGCTGGCGTTTCGGAGGAAAGTGAAGACCTGGTTGTTCGAACAAGCATTTGATTAAACAGTGTAATTGAACATAGGAATATGGAATAATGGATGATGAGACTGGATTCTGATTTTACTGTTGAGGCGCTAATGATTGTTATACGGATGTTGAATGATTTATGTTACAATTGTTTTTAATTGCCCTATACTTGTCTCGTGATGTTTTGTATCGATGTTGTTCACCGCTTTGAGTCGCCTGAGGGCTGAGAAAAGCGGTATATAAATAAAGTAAATAAATACATCTGATATATAGCCACACAGTTTGGTGGTTTGCACTATTTTCCAGAGTTATGAGGTGCTTTAGTAGAAAGTTGGAAGACAATAATTGTGTAAGACAGCCATTCCAGCGCACACTTTAGTTTCAAGGCATCCGCAAACTAGACTTTAGAGAAAGTAGGCATCCTGAGAACTGGCACCTTTCTGTCCTTATAGGAATGCCCCCCTGCCCCTTTTTGCCCCTTTTTGTGCCCTAGTCAAACACAATATGCAATACCTTTCCCAGTATCTGAATCAGTGATGACTGGTTTGTGTGTGTGTGTTGTGTGCAACGCCAGCCCCAGCAGGCAACCCTTCGTCCTGTTTGGCACCCATGCCTCCAAGGAGAACCTGAACTCGGCCAACTTCAACTTCCCTTCGGAGGGGCATCTGCTTCGCAACACGGGCCACGGCGGGAGCACGGCCAAGCACATGGTAAGCATAACCAAGAGGGTTTTCCTAGACTCGTTTGGACTTTGTGCGGCTTTTATTTTACTGCCCCCTCCCCCATTTGCATATTTTGTGTTTTATTGGCAATTAGGTAGTGCAGTGCGTCTCTCCCAAAGGACCCCTGGCTTGCTCAAGGACGTATTTCTTCGGAGCGACTCACACTCCTTACCTGGGTAAGTTCCACGTCARTTGCCTACATGTTTGTTTTCTTTGAAATTGCCTCATTTCTAGGGCTGCCCYCGGTGGCGCAATGGATTAAACCCTAGTGCTGGCAGGACTGCTGACGGAAAGGTCGGYRGTTCGAATCTGGGGAGCGGGATGAGCTCCCATCTGTCAGCTCTAGCTTCTCATGCGGGGACATGATAGAAACCTCCGACAGGATGGTTTTTTTWWAATAGATTTTTATTGAGTTTTGCAAATATAGACATATATAAACATACAATGGAGTTAAGGAATCRTAGGGGGGGGGGTGAGGGAGGGGGGGGTATGGGGGAGGAGGGATGGGAGGGGTTGGGGGTCAAGGTAARGGAAGAATTTGCTGTACTTCCCGAAAGTCTTCCAAGAGTCCTTAACTTTTAATTACTTGTTGTTTCTGCCGACAGTGTTCCTTTGATCTTCAGTTTCAAATGCTAGACAGATCTATCTGTATTGGAATCCCCCTGCTTATTGTTGGGGTTCAGCCTGAGTTTGAACTTGAACCTGATTCTCTGTCTGTTCCTCCTGATGCTAATGAAAGTA